CTCTTTACAACAATATATATAATTATTTAATTTAATTTGTGTATATATAAATATATCACTTAAATATCTATTTTTATTCAAATTTATGCCCCAAAACTGCCGCCACTACAAAAATTTCGTTTCAAAATCCTATTACAAAGATTAAAAACCTTAAAAAAAAAAAATCTCTTTCTATTTGAGTAACTATTCATTCAATAGATAAAAAAAAAAAAACTTACATTTAATATACATAAATATATATATCTACTCTTCTCTTAAATGTCTCTTATCGTACCACCACCGACACCTCCATTACCACAGGATAATAATAATAATAATAATCCAAGGCTTTCATCGTGTGTTATGCCAGTCGAAACACCGTTATTAGACCAATCTCATCTTAAACCGGGCCATAAAGCCTCGTTACTTTCACATTCGCAAACTTTAGAACTATATAGACAAAATGCTAAAAAGACTAATGATCCCGACCTTCAGTTTGAATTTGCGGCTTTTATGGTAGAAGCTTCAAGAGCCATGAACGACGAAGAAGCAAAAAAAAGAGACGACCTAGTTAAAGAAGGTTTAGCTCTTTTAAGAAAATTAGCTGATAGAGGCCATGCTAATTCACAATATTATCTTGCAGATTGCTATGCAAGTGCTATAGGTACTTCAAAAAATAAACCTGATTTTGACAAAGCTTTTCCTCTGTTTGTACAATCTAGTAAACATGGTCACCCTGATGCTGCTTATCGCGCTGGCGTATGTTATGAACAGGGTTGGGGATGTCGTAAAGATTTTGCAAAAGCCGAACAATTTTTCAAGTAATTTAATTTTATTTTTTTATTTATATTTTATTTTTTATTCGGATCAAAATGTACTTTTTTTTAAAAAAAAATCATTACTAATAAGAACCTTTCCTTTTAATAATAACATAATAGAAAATCAGCATCATCTAGTCATCCTGGAGCATTGTATAGATTAGGTATTGCTGAATTAAAAGGGGAATTAGGATTAGCCAAAAATCCTCGTGATGGTGTAAGATATCTCAAGAGAGCAGCAGAAAATGCAAATGAAGAATTTCCACATGCGTTACATGAATTATCAGAACTTCATGAGAAGGGAATTGATAACGTATGTTTTGTAGATATAGAATATGCGGTACAATTACTTATAGAGGCGGCAAATTTAAATTATGCACCATCAGCATTTAAATTAGGAGAATACTATGAATACGGCAAAATGGGTTGCCCACAAGATGCTGCATTATCAATTCATTATTATACCATTGCAGCACAACAAGATCACAGAGAAGCTTGTTTCGCTCTAACAGCTTGGTATCTTGTTGGTAGTCCTGGAATACTACCACAAAGTGATACAGAAGCTTATTTATGGGCGAAAAGAGCTGCTGAAAAAGGGTTGCCTAAAGCTGAATATGCTGTTGGATATTTTACCGAAGTAGGTATCGGCGTTAAAAAAGATCAATTGGATGCAAATAAGTGGTATCGTCGTGCTGCTGAACATGGTGATAAAAGAGCTCAACAAAGATTAAAAGGTGGTGCACCTATTGATGAAAAGAAACCTAAAAGAGATGATTGTGTAATCTCTTAAGGTTTTTTTTTTTTTTTCTTTTTTTTTTTTCCTCCTCAAAACAAGACAATTTTTTCGAAAGCAAATTTTGAATGGTGAATGTTAATATCATAATTAGGATAATCGATAATAGAATTATATTATAGGGTGACGTAATTTGAAAATAATCACATCAACGTTAATTTATTACTATAATAATTAAAAAGTCAATATATATAATTGTTTTATTTGCCGTTATATAAAAGAAAAAAAATAAAAATAATACATATAAATAACATTATTGTTGCACCTTGATTGATGAAAAAAATTCTTATAGTGACTAATTATGGTTACGATATGGAAATGCCAAGTAAAGTCAATGCAATGCTATTTTTAAAAATCTGTTCAATCGTTCCAAATTTTTTTTTTTTTTTTTGGAATGATAAAGAAAGGGGGAAATAAAGTTTCATTCGTGAATGCAATGTTATGAAATTTTCTTGGCATCATTATTTGTTTTAATAACGATTTGATGCATTCTCTTCATATAAATGATGATTTTCATTAATCTGAAAGAAAATGTATAAAGACTTTATTGTTACCCATATGTATTATAGCGATTGCAATTAACGAACCAATGGGCATCAGGTGTCACATAACCAAAAAAAATTTATACTTAAGAGATATGATTAAAATGTTGAATTTATTGGTTAAGCACAGAAGTTGGGAGAACTGACAAAAATAAGACTTCGTTTTTAATATAAAAATTCATTCTTCACGTGGTACTCATGCGGATGCTGCGCATCATTTTTTCTTTAAAAGATAATTTTCAATATTTGAAGATTATGATCTTTTCATACGGTATATTAATTAATTATTTTTTTGATCAAATGTACTTTTTTAACCATAACCTTTCCTTTAATAATAACGTAATAGAAACTATGCGTCAGCTAATATTTTCGAGGAGATGTTAGAATTCTCAAGAGCGGCAGAATATGAAATTAGAGCTGTTGAAAAAAGGTCACCTAAAGCTATAAATATATTTTTACCGAGTGTCAAAACAGATCAGGTATCGTCGTGATGCTGAACTTGTGAAAAAAGAGCCCAATAAAGATCAAAAGTTGGTACCTCTTTTGATGAAAAAGAGATGATCTCCAAAAATATTTTTTTTTTTTTTTTTTTTTTTCAAAAAAAGACAAATTTTTCTTATCATAATAAGATAAACGATTAGGTTTTTTTTTAATTAATTAATTTATTTTATTACCATAAGTCAAAATCATACAAAGAATTGTTTTGATTCGCTTTAACAGCTATAAATAAATGATTTATTGTTGAAAAATTCTCCTTTGTTTGTGTGAAACATAATTTATATTATATCCTAAATATGGTTTTTTTATAAAGTTATATGAATTTCCGGAATTCCAATTAAAATAGATATGTAAATCAATACTATTTTTAAACATTAAATTATAAAGAAAAGGGGAAATAAAGTACCATTTGTGACTGTAACTGCATTCTTTTCATTTTCTTGGCATCTTTGTATTTCGTTTAAACAACATAAAAAAAAAAAAAAAATACAATAAAATTTTATTTTACCATTTTAAAATGAAATATCATCGTATGACGATTTAATGATTGCAGCACTTTTAAGTATAAATATGTCCTCTTGAAATTTTTTTTTTATTAATCATCCTTTATAATTTATTTTTTTTTTCATAGTAAATTAAAAAAATAAAAGGGAAAACAATTGAAAATGTATAAGCTTTCCTTATTATTGCCCATATTTATAACGTTAGTAATTAAAATAGTATTAGCGCAAGATTCGAAAAATTATGCGACACCAGCACCAACGGACATACCAGGTATCCCGCAACCAGGCCCCGACCAAAAAAATTACGAATACTCAAAATTATTATCATACTCATTATTATTTTATGAGGCACAACGAAGTGGAAAATTACCTCCCGATAATCGAATAACTTGGAGAAGTGACTCGGCATTACAAGATGGTAGTGATAATAAAGTTGATTTGGTAGGAGGTTATTATGACGCTGGAGATCATTTAAAATTTACTTTTCCATTATCATGGACCCTTTCCTCCATATCATGGGGCGCTTATGAATGGTATGAAGGATATCAAACTGCTGGTCAAGCTACTCAATTAAGAGATATGATTAAATGGGGAACTGATTGGTTAATTAAGGCACACTCCGATCCAGATGTTTTATATGTTATGGTAGGAACGGCGGAAGTCGATCATAATTATTGGGGTCCTGACACTAACATACCATTACCAAGACCTTCTTTTAATATAAATAATTCTTCGCATGGAAATGATGCTGCAGCAGAAGCTGCTGCTGCGATGGCAGCTGCATCATTATTCTTTAAGGATAAAGTACAAGATGAAGATTACGCTAATACATTATCTTTTCATGCTAAACAATTATATGATTTCGCAAACCAACAGCCATACGTAACATATCAAACATCGGTTAAAGAGGCTGATGACATGTACTCTTCAAATGGTTATCAAGATGAATTGGTATGGAGTAGTCTCTGGTTATACAAATTAACGAAAGATCCACAATATTTTGATAATGCGGTAAATTACTTTAAACAATTTAAATTATCTGGACAAGTTAATGTGGTTAACTGGGATGATAAAACTGGCGCATCATATATTTTATTTGTACAATGTGCTACGGAATTAAAAAGAAATGATATCGATACTTGGAAAGCTGAAGCAGAAAGATATTTAGATGCTGTAGTATCTCCTGATGGTAGATGTCGTTTCACGAAAGGTGGATTATATTTTTGTGAAGGTGACAGTGATGCCGCTTCTTTGAATCCCGCATTAAATGCTGCTTTCGTGTCGCTATTATATTCCCCATTCAGTTCGTCCGATTCTAAGAAAGATGATTATATCAAGTTTGCCGCAAAGCAAATGAATTACTTGTTTGGAGATAATCCTATGAAGACTCCTTATGTTGTAGGAATTCATCCAAATTCTCCTAAAGATCCTCATCATTCAGGTGCACATGGGGGTACCGATATAAATAATCCACGTGAGAATATGCATGTTCTTTATGGAAGTATTGTAGGTGGTCCTTCTAAACATGACAAGTATAAAGATGATAGAAAGGATTATAAACAATCTGAAGTTGCTTTAGATTATAATGCTCCCTTTCAAAGTTTAATGGCTTATCAGGTTATTAATGCTAAAGAAGATCCTTATTATGTTACTTTACCTCCTGGAAGACCTCAAACAAATGTCGCTCTCATCGTTATATTGGTGCTTCTCTCTTTATCTGTCGTTGGTATTGGTGGTTTTATTTATTGGAAAAAATATAGAAATCGTAATGTAAGGAATAAAGTATAGAGAAAAAGACTTTTAATACAAATAGAAAACTTGTAATTATAAATTATCATGCAATTC